CCAAATAAGCAACGTGACAAGATGGCCTAGTTTGGGGTGGCATATTAATTCTCCACATTATCATATTGAAAACTTATGTTGGCGCGTGATTATCATTGCCTGGCTCCTATTGCGACAGGAAAGGCGTCAGCATTCAACTGTTTAATATGCTGTCAGGTGTGGGCTTTTCATAATGGCCTTGATTATGTGGAGGTAATTTCCTTCTGTTCCCTTTTATTTTTTTTTAGTATTTTTTTAAATTTATTTCTAGGAAAGAGAGAGAGAGAGAGAGCGAGCGAGCAGGGGAGGGTCAGAGAGAGAGGGAGTCACAGACTGAAACAGGCTCCAGGCTCTGAGCTGGCAGTCAGCACAGAGCCCGACACAGGGCTCGTACCCACGAACCGCCAGATCATGACCTAAGCGAATGTCGGACGCTTAACCGACTAATCCACCCAGGCGCCCCCTTCTGTTCCCTTTTTATTGAGCTTTTTAAAAATGATGAACATGCGTTGAATTTTGTCTACTCTATTTTTATGAATTAATTAATGATGGCATAGATTCAATTATTTTCTCTGTTACTGTAGGGCATCCCATTTATACTTTTGTGTATCTTGAAGTACTCGTGCATCCCAGGGATGAATCACACTGGATTATCATGTGGTCCTTTCAACAGGCTGTTGGATTCAGTACGGTCAGATTTTCCCAGGGAATTTTGTATCTATGTTATTCTGGGATATTGGCCTGTATTTTCCCTTCTCGTGATGTCTCTTTTTGGCTTTGATGTGAGAGTAATGCTGTTCTCAACAAACGCATTTGGGAGTGTTCTTTTTCATCAGTGTTTTGTAGTAGTTTGAGAAATATTAATGTTAATTCTTCCGTGTAGAAGCATTTTATCTTGATGAGGTCCCAATAGTTCATTTTTCCTCTTGATTCCCATGCATTTGGAGACATGTCGTGTAAGAAATTTAGAAGATATGGTTTATCTATACAATGGAATACTACATAGCAATGAGAAAGAATGAAATCTGGCCATGTGTAGCAGCATGGATGGAACTTGAGAGTGTTATGATGAGTGAAATAAGTCAAGCAGAGAAGGACAGCTACCAAATGTTTGCACGTATAGGAGGATTAGGAGGAACTTAACGGAGGACTGTGGGGGAGAAGAAGGGCGAAAATAGTGGGGTAGAGGGAGGGAGGCAAACCATGGGAGACTCGAATGCTGAGAACAAACTGAGGACTGATGGGTGTGGGGGAGGGGAAGGGAGGTGATGGGCATGGAGGAGGACACTTGTTGGATGAGCACTGGGTATTATATGGAAACCAACCTGAGAATGAACTATTTGTAAAAAAAAAAAAGAAAAAAGAAAAAAGAAAATAAAAGAAAAGAGCAAAGGGGGAAAAAAGAAAGAGAGAGACAAATCAAGACAAACTCTTAATTATTGAAAATAAATAAATGGCAGTGGGGTGATGGGGTGAGGAATGGATTAAATCGGTGATGAGGATTAAAAGAGGCACTTGTGATGAGCACTGAGTGATATCTGGAATTGTTGAATTACTATATTGTACAGCTGAAACTAAGAACACTGTATGTTAATTAACTGGAATTAACATAAAACATAAATTCAAAAATAAAAAGATAAAAAAAAGAATGAGTAAGTGAGAATGTATCTGACTACTGAGAATTGATCTAGAGTTAATCATGGCAATGCGTCAGTTCTGATCTTGGGAGAAGAGCTGTTTCTGTATCCAAGCTCCACTAACAAAGCCGCTCCCCAGCGCAGATGGGCATGGTTTGGTGTAGGTGGGTCTCACCTCTACTGTGGGTCCCCAGGGCCCTGCCTTGGTGGTTGTGGGGAGAAAAATGGCGACCTCCCTGTCCTTTCTCAAACCAGGCATTGCAAATCATTCTTTTGGGTCCAATCTCACTGTGCTTTGGGAGCAGTCAAGGTGGGCCATGTTCTATGTTCCACACCCAGCCTCATTTCTAGATCTTACTCAGTGTGCATTAATGATACCTCCTGATATGTAATCCTGCAAGCCTCCACCCCCCTTCCTAGAAGGGAATCGGGTAGGGGACTGGTTCCTTCTGATGCCAACTCCGACTGCAATCCCTTTCATACTGTCTATCCCTCCCTGAGGGAGTTTCTGGGATTAGGGCACCCAGCCAAAAGAAAGCTCCACAGTTACTGATAGGATCTCTCTCCGAAGCCCTGCCGTTAGAGATGGGATGATATGATCCCTGTCTGTCCTGGGCTGAGTTTTTGTCTCCTTCGGGGACCATTCTAAGATTCCCCAACCCCTCTTTCTCTTCCTTTTTTTCTCTCTGCAGAGGGGGTTCCCTCCCCTCCATGCCTCCATATCCTGGCCCATTTTTATCTTCCTCAGTTCACAACCACGGACCTATGAGGCTGTCTTCTTAGTGGACTCCATGTCTTTTCCACCCAGACTCTTGCGGTTCTGGGTCCTTTGGCTTCAGCCCTTCTATGTTTGAGGAATGCAGGCAGGAAGTACGGAACTCCCTGTTTCTCCAACATCTTGCCCCTCCCATTTAGTATCTCTTGGTTTTGGAGGGAGGCAAAATGGAGAAGTATGGAGCTCCATACATTTCCTTAGCCACCATCCCGCAAAGGGAGAAGGCCTGAAGCCATAGGAACCCTTACAGAATGCAGGAGTTTGGGAGGAAAGGGAGACAGAGTCCACTGAGAAAACCTTATAGTGTGAGTGTGAACTGGAGAAGATAAAAGCAGGTCGGGACCGGAGACACGGGGGGAGGGAGGGACCCCCTTTGCGGGGAGCCATGGTGAGTCGACAGGAAAAGAAAGAGCGAATGAAACGGCTCGAGACACTGTCCCTGTCCCTGGAGAAGAGGAAAACCTTGGCTGGGGTCACAGAGGGATCCAGTTTCCTGCTGTCCAGCTGACGGTGAGGGGGATGCACTGGTCCCAGGTGACCTGGGAGAAACTGCTGCTCACTCACCAGCTCGATCTGGAGGGGAATTGGCGGTGCCAGAAACCGAGCCGCCCTGCTTCTGGATGATCTCAGTTCCCAGTGGGGAGGTGAGAGAATTGAAACTGTTTGGGGGACTTGACCTGTGGGTTCATTCTTGGGTGATATCAATGGGGCGCGTGGAGTAGGATTTGGAAACAATGCCTGGCTTGGGATATAGACCAAGGCCCACCTTTGTTAGGACCGCAGCACAGGACTATTGTACCCAAAAGAGGCTACCTCAAGAAACAAGCCAAAGTACACATGGTGGAGAGTCCCAAAAACCACTAAAATTAGGGAAAAAAATAACCAAAGTCTCATCAAGAGAGACCAAGAGACACCATTGAAAGAACACTTCCTGAATGGACTGGCCGTGGACAGTCAAAAGCTTTCCTTAATACAACAGTACTCACAGGTGCAGAGTGCACAACAAGCTTTTAAAACTAACAAGAGTCAGAAAGCTAGCCAAAATGACAAAACGGAAGAACTCTCCTCCAAAGAAATTCCAGGAAGAAACGACAGCTAAAGAACTGCTCAAAACAGATATAGTATCTCTGTTTTCTTTTTTCAATCCATTTTGATACCCTATGTCTTTTGATTGGAGCGTTTTGCCCATTTACATTCACAGTGATTTTTTTTTTCAATGCCTTTTTTTTTTAATTTATTTCTAGGAGAGAGAGAGACAGCGTGAGCAGGGGAGGGTCAGAGAGAGAGGGAGACACAGACTCCGAAACAGGCTCCAGGCTCCGAGCTGCCAGTCAGCACAGAGCCCGACGCGGGGCTCGAACCCATGAACCGCGAGACCATGACCTAAGCAAAAGTCGGACGCCCAACCGACTAAGCCACCCAGGCGCTCCGACATTCACAGTGATTATTGATAGATATAAACTTAGTGCCATTGTGTTACCACTAAAGTCATTTTTTCTGGAGATTTTCTCTCTCTCTTTTTTTCCTCGTCTTTGTTGCTTTTAATCTCCCTTTGACACTCACAGAATCCCCTTTAATATTTCTTGCAGGGCTAGTTTAGAGACCATGAACTCCTTTGGTTTTTGTTTGTCTGAGAAAGTCTACTTTTCCCTCAATCTGAATAACAGAGTTAGTAGGGAAAGTATTCTTGGCTGTATATTTTTCAATTGAGCATGTTGAGGTTATCATGCCCCTCCCTTCTTGCCTGAAGGTTTCTGTGGAGAGACCTACCACAATCTTCTTTTATCTTCCGTTAGTAGTTAACAAATTCTTTCACTGTGCTGTTGTTAGGGTTTTTCTTTATCTGTATATTTTGCCAGTTTTAGTGTGATATGTCTCATTGTTGTCATGCTTTTGTTGATTTTGATGGAAGCTCTCCATGCCTCCTAGATGTGGACGTCTGTTTCCTACCCAGTTTGTGGAAATTTTCCACTATAATTCACTCAGATAAAACTTCTTCCCTTTTCTCCCTCTCTTCTTCTTCTGGGACTCCTTTGAAAAGAATGTCTTTACACTTATGTAGTTGCTGAGTTCCCTAAGTATACACTTTTGATGCGATATTTTAATTTTCCTCTTCTTTCCTGCTTCATTTCCCCCATACCTTTATCTCTTATGCCACTTACTCATTCATCTGCTTCTTTCAGTCTTGAGGTCATGATATCCATCAGTTTCGCATCTCAGTTACATCATTAAGAAAATTTCAGCCTGGTTTGTTTTTAGGTCTTTTCTATCTGCTGTAAGGGCATTCCTCATGTCTTCTATGCTTCCTCAAGCACAGCTAGTATCCTTATGATAGTTTTTAAAAATTCTGTTTCATTGGGCGCCTGGGTAGCTCAGTCAGTTAAGCGTCTGACTTCAGCTCAAGTCATGATCTCACAGTTTGTGGGTTTGAGTCTCTCATCGGGCTCTGTGCTGACAGCTCATAGCCTGGAGCCTGTTTCAGATTCTGTGTCTCCCTCTCTCTCTGATCTTCCTCTTCTCTCTCTCTCTCAGAAATAAATAAAAAAAACATTTAAAAATAAAATAAATAAAATAAAAATTCTGTTTGAGCAACATTACTTATATGTGTTTTAATTATATCCCTGGCAATCACCTTTTATCGTTTTTGTTTCGGAAGGAATTCCTCCATAATGGCATATGTCTATGCCTCTGCCTTCCTCTGTGTTTTAGACAATCCTGTTATGTTTTCTGCTTCTGAAGGAGTGGCTTTATTAAGAAGAGTTCATATACTGTCAAAGGATTGACACTTCAGAAAGCATTTCTGGCGGACCCAGTACATGTTATAGTCACTGCAGATGAATCCAGAGGCTGCACAGGAGAGTCTCAGGGAGCCTCCAGGCTTCACCAGGCCTCCCCCAGACTCCACCAGCTGCACCTCACACTGGACACCTGTAGACACAAGACATCCTGATGAGGAAACTGTCCCATATCCAATGCTTCTCTCACTCACATCCACTCACTTACTCACTGTCTCTTGTTCACCTTGAATTACCTTTTAAACAACAACAAGGAAAGCCCAGCGAAGCACAAACTCCATGGTGAGATGTCTGCGTTCTGTCCTGATCACAGAATGGGAACACCTGGGGCTCCCGGGGCTGGGGATCCTCTCCCAGCTGCAGGGTCAGGGCTGGGCCGGTTTAGTCAGCACAGGGAGGGCCCTATTTGCATATCCTCTGACTATATATCAAACTCCAGACTTAGATTTCATTCTTTATTTGTGAACGACAGGGTCAAAGAGGCACTTCTAGGTCACTTTGTGTAGATGGTGCTGCGACAGTATTTAGAATTCTGATCTGAACACAGTTATATTTGCCGACGGTGTGTTTTTACATGTCTTTCATCAACATAGGTCATTTTCTCTGTACAAGTGTTTTATACACTTTTTGAAGTTTAGTCCAAAACAGGTTATTCTGTGCCATTTTAAATTGTATAATTTTGTTATTTCTTTTGCATATATTTTCAAACTGGTTTGTGGAATCATAGCTCTTTTTGTAGTTCTTCATTTTCTATCCTGCACTTTTCCTCATTCTTCGAAATTGGTTCTAATATTTTTTGTGGTGTCTCTAGTGTTTTGTTACATTTAAGATCATGCCATCTGCAAACAGGTAATTTTTCTTCCTTCTTACTGATTTAAATGTCTTTTATTTCTTTTTATTGCCTAATTTTTCTGGGTACATCTTCAAATTGTAGGAGCAGAAAGCTTTTCTGTTGTTTGCTTCTGGGTTTTCACCCAGTCTAAAGATTCAATTGACATAAGAGAGATCTACAAAAGAGAATAAATTTCATTTTGCAAGTGCATGAGCTTCCTAATTATATGTCACCCAGAAAATGAACAAAGCAGGTGGCACTTGTGATTTTCAGACAACAAAATATTGAATTCGTAAAGAGAGCAAAAGTGGTTTTGGGGTTAAATTAGTCACCAAGTAACTAGGTTTGTTTGCACAGCCTTCTTGTCCCTACGTTCCTTACTCTGGTAGTAAGGCTGGTTTTGCCCTCCTGGGAGAAAGGAAGGGAGCTTTCCCAAGGGAGATTTATTTATTGCTGTCAGGGGACAAGGGATGGTCCAAGTGTCCTTGGACTATTTTTTAAGTGACTTTTATTCAAACAAACAACATGACAAGATGAAATAATTTAGGGTGCGTATTTATTCTTCACATTATCATGTTGAATACTTATGTTAAGATGTCATCATTACCTGGCTTCTGATGTGACAAAAAAGGCTTCAGTATTTAACTCTTCAATGTGCTGTCAGGTGTGGGCTTTTCATAATGGCTACAGTCAAGTGAGGTAATTTCCTTCTGTTCCCCTTTAATTGAGCTTTTTTAAAAAGATGAACATGTGTTGAATTTTATCTAATGGTTAGGAAGCAATTAATGATGATGTAGATTCAGTCATTCTCTCTGTTAATGTAGGGCATCACATTTACACATTTGTAGATGTTGAAAAGTCCTTGCATCTCAGGGATGAATCACACTGGATTATCATGTATAATCCTTTCAATGTGCTGTTGGATTCAGTATGCTCGGATTTTATCAAGGAATTTTGTATGTATGTTAATCTGGGATATTAACTGTAGTTTCCCTTCTTTTGGTGTATTTCTTTGGCTTTGATGTGAGAATAATGTTGTCCTCAACAAATGCATTTGGAAGTGTTCCTTTTCATCAGAGTTTTGTAGTAGTTTGAGATATATTGGTGTTAATTCTTCTTTATTTTTTTAAACTTTTCTTTTATTTATTTATTTATTTATTTATTTATTTATTTATTTATTTTTTACAAATAGTTTATTGTCAAATTAGTTTCCACATAACACCCAGTGCTCATCCCCATGAGTGCCCTCCTCCATGCCTATCCCCTCTTCCCCCTATATCCATCAGTTCTCATTTTTTGTCAGCATTCAAGAGTCTCTCATGGTTTGCCTCTCTTTAAATATTGGTCGAAATTTTAATAATGCTATGTAATTCTAGGTTGGTTTTGGAGGGTGTAGTTTTTAGATTAAGGAAATCTTATTAATTTTTGTTTTGTTCATTTTGTATTTTTTCATGAAACAGTCTTGGTGGATTCCATAATTCTAGAAAATGTGTAGTTTATTCTTGATGATCTAATTGTTGGCCTATAAATATCTAAGTTTTTCTTTTATGATCCCTTTCATGTCTTTGGTTCAGTTATGTCTCCTCTTTCAGTTCTGATTGCATTTGTTTGAGTCTTACGTATTTCTCTAGGCTACCTATGTTCTTTTTTTATTTTTTTAATTTTTTTATTTTTAATAGTTTATTGTCAATTTGGTTTCCATATAACACCTAGTGCTTATCCCAAGTGGCCTCCTCCATGCCCATCACCCCTGTCCCTTCCCCCCATACTATCTATGTTCTTTTAATTTCACTTATATTTTCCAAATACAAATTTTAAAGCAGTTGATTTGTTTTCTGTATTTGTGATAGTCTCTACTTTTTCTCTGCCTTATCTTTTTATGTGAATTTGTTGTTTATCTTTTTATGGCAATAAAAAGATTACTCTGATTACTCCACAAAGAAAGAGATGAAAAGGTACGCAGGTGTAGAATTTAAACCTAAAGAATGGATTAAATGTCACTGTTTAAGCAAGCTAGTGACCAGAATTAATCAGGACAGTACATCCATGTTGGTCTTGCCCAGGCTCCTGTGAAAGAAAGAAAGAAGAAAGAAAGAAGAAAGAAAGAAAGAAAGAAAGAAAGAAAGAAAGAAAGAAAGAAAGAAGGAAGGAAGGAATAGCAAATATAAAAATAAATTTAAAAAAATTAAGATGGCTGCTCTCTTGCAGGGATGGGCATGGTTTGACCCAGTGTCTCCCGCAGGAGTCCTGCCTTGGAGGTTGTGGGGAGTAGAGTGGAGGTGCTCCAGTACCTTCTTGAACCAAGCGCTGCAACTGTGCCGGGGGCACAGCCAAATGGGCCGTGCTCTATAACCCAGGCCAGGCCTCGTTTCCAGATCCCAGTCTGCGTACCCCACTGAAATTTCCAGAGCCACAAACTCGCAGGCGCCCCTCAGGGCTGTCCCAAGCCTCTTGCTCTCCCATTGGGGATTGAGCCAGAAGCCGGTGCTCCCGTCTTCTCAGGTCGGGTTGGCGAGCGAGAGGCAGTTTCATCTGGGAGTCTCCTGGAGGTGTGCGTCCCATCTAGGGTCAGCTGGACAGCAGGAAACCGGTTCCCTCTGTGTCCCATCGCCGGAAAGACAAACTCATGGGCAAATCTCCCAGTTTTAAGCCCTTCACTTTCCCTCCAGGGATCCAGCGGAGCCAGAAGCACAAAAGTGCGGCTGCTGCTCTCCCCTTCAGGTTGAGCTGGCGAGCAGGGAGCATTTTCACCAGGGGTAGCCTGGGATGCGTGTGTCCCGCCTGAGGTCAGCTAGAGAGCAGGAAACTGGATCCCTCTGTGTCCCAACCGGAGGATTTTCTCTTCTCCAGTGAAAGGATTAGTGTCTTGAGCAGTTTCAGCCACTCTCTTTCCCCTCTAGATTCCCCGCACGGGGGGATTCCCCCCCCATCCCTCTGTGTGTCTGGTACCAGGCCCGATTTTATCTTCCCCAGTTCGCAATCACACTAGAAGGTTTTCTCAGTGGACTCTGTCTTCTTTTCCTCCCAAACTCCTGGATTCTCTAAGGGTTCCTATGGCTTCAGGCCTTCTCTGTGTGAGATATGGGGGCGAGTGGAATGTACCGAGTTCTCTACTTCTCCACCATCTTGCACCTACTCAGTTGCCAATTAGTTTTCTTATTAATGTTTCCTTCGCTATGCAGAAGCTTTTTATCTGTTTTTTATTGACACATTTCTAATAGTTTATTGTCAAGAGAAGCTTTTTATCTTGATGAGGTCCCAATAATCCATTTTTGCTTTTGTTTCCCTTTCCTCTAGAGGCATGGCTAGTAAGAAGTTGCTGTGGTCGAGGTCAAACAAGTTGATGCCTGTTTTTTCTTATGGATTTTGATGTTTTCTTGTCTTACACTTAAGTCTTTCATCCATTTTGAATATATTTTTCCATATGCTGTAGGAAAGTGTTCTAGTTTAAATCTTTTGTATGTCACTATCTAGGTTTCACAGAACCATTTCCTAAACACACTGTTTTCTTCTTCATTGGATACTCCTTCCTGCTTTCTTGAGAATTACTTGACCACATATTTGTTTCAAATTCTGGGTTTTCTATTCAATCCTATTCATTTATGTGTCTATTTTTGTGCCAGTACCATGCTTTCTTGATGATTACAATTTGTACTACAGCATGAAATCTAGAATTGTGATGCCTCTAGCTTTGATTTTCTTTTTGAACGTTGTTTGGCCTATTCAGAGATTTCTGGTTTCATACAGATTTTAAAATTCTTTGTTCTTTCTCTGCAAAGAATGCTGGTGTTATATTGATTAGAATCACATTGATTGTGTAGATTGTTTTTGGTAATATTGATATTTTAACAATATTTATTTTCCAATCCATGACCATGGATTGTTTTTCCATTTCTTTGTGTCTTGTTTAATTTCCTTTATATAATTTCTATAGGTTTTAACATACAATCATTCACCTAATCAATAAATTAGGTTTATTCCTAGGTGTATTATG